GGAGTTCGGTGGGTTGCGGGGTTACTCGCGGCTCAGCTGGATTGAAACCTGGCCTCGCGAAGAACTCTGAGTGGCGTACCCTTCGGGCCGCCTTCCTATCCACGGCCCCTTCGCTCGGGCGGAGCCGCGCTGCCCCATTAGGGGCAGCCCCCCAATATGGCACGCAGCCCAGGGGCGCCCCCTGGGGACCGATGAAACGCCTTCGATCCCAGTGGCCAGTGCGCGCAGGTCATTACTTGTCGAATGAATGCGTCACCCTAGAGAAAAGCCACAGGGGGGAAACACTGAACACCTCACCTGCGTTGCAGGTGGGCCACTGCTACACTACTACAGAGAGCTGCTCCTTCCACCACGTGGTTGGCCACCACCCCACCCCCTCAACCTCGGCCCCCCCGACGACGGGCGGAGCTGCGCCGTGGGGATCGGCGGGAGGTTAGGGCCGTGGGCCGTGGGGATAGGGAGCAAATTCTCATTCTTGACAGGCTCGTGCCTGCGTAAAAATCCACTGGCACTCGACCGAGTGCAATCAGCTCTCTAAGTCGCTGGCTATTCTGCAGACTGGCGAGCTCAGGCCTCAACCTCAAGTCCCTTTGTCCGATCAGGCTTTGAGACGCTCTCCCCCGATGCTCATGATGGCTGTGCGCACTGTGGGGATGAGCTGGCGACCTAGTTCGTGATCCGAATCGATCGCGATAATGAGGCGCCCTTTGTTCTCCTGGCTCGATCCCTCCTTCCTGTTCCGCTTCCACTGCCAGTGAAGGACGACCTCTCCCACCTCCAGCACCTTGAAGCCCTTGAGATATGTTCCGTGGATCTCGAGAAGCGCCCTGCCCCACTCGGTCTCCTGCTTGGCTAACAAGATGAGGGCTATCATGAATATGTGTAGATGAGAAGGCCCACGACTCTGGAAATCCACCACCTCGCCCTTTTCCTTCTTCTCGGCCAAATCGTTCGAGATATCCTGGTAGCGTTTGCCCGCGCCCTCCATCCGATCCGTGACCCCGCCCTCTACATAGTCGAGCGCGTAAGTGGCCGTCCGCTCCGCGATGGCCCTGCTGTCCGTCAGCACTAGGCGCGCGATGATGAGTACGAGCTGCCCTATGATCTCGTGGTCTCCTTTGCCCTCTTGGAGCTTGCCCTTGACGTCCTTGAGCAGCCGAGCTCGGCTGACTTCCCCCCCAGCACGTTGGGGCACCTGAAGCCAGTCTGGCTTCTCCAGCTCCATCTCTGTCGATCGGTTCGATATCAGGATGAAGAGATGGCCGCACTTCTCGAGGAAGATGGCTGCGGAGATGACAACATCGATCCCCTTGACACCCAAAAGCTCGGCGACACACGATGCAGGAGTTCGTGGGGGTCAACGCCGAGCTGCGGTTTCTGACAAAATGGATCCTCCTCATGTGGTTGAGCAGCTCCCGTCTGGTTCGAAACTCGCGCCCACATCTTTTTGCCTGTCTCAGTGTCAAGCTGCCAATCACACTGCCTCTCCGAGGGCGCCTCGTCTGGTGTAGGCTCAGCAGGGCCAGCGTGCACCGTCTGCGCATGAAACGGTGGGACTGCACGCGAGAGACAACAGGCACGAATCTCTGTGAAATCGAGCTGGAGAAGAATGCGACGCCACCGATACGGCATTGAAAGCGACCATACACGGCCTAGCGAGCAAACAACATTTGCGCAAGCGGCACATCTGCGGCCCACCTCCGTCTCGACGGATTGGTTGGCATGAAGCATCGGTCCCAAGTATCGCGCCGCATCTTTGAATAGTCCTGGAAGAAATTCTGGATGTGAACGAACCCATCTTTTGCGAGTAGCGGCCCCAAGCCCGTGAAAGTACATCTGGAGTTCCTGCTTTGTCTGATTTCTTGCACATCCCACCTCCGTTAGGGCACGATCGAAGACATCATCGATGTCCTTCATAGTGTCGAAGAAGTCCTTGATCAATATGGGTACAGGAACCACATGTATTTGAAACACGTCATCTGCATAAGTGCAGCCCCCCACGTGTGCCCTCAAGTCTCGCCACCTGGCCGTCAACTGGTTAGCGAGGGCATCCGAATGCTGGATCGAATATTTCCATGTTGTCAGTGGTCGTGAAAAAGTGCCCCGGAATACCTGAACAGCGTATGGATCCCCCATCAAGCCGCCGACGCCCGTGTTCAGGGTCACGTGGCCCTCCACGGTCTCGAGGGTGATCGTGCTCATCTTGAATCGCTGAATGCACATGTCGATGTTCTCGGGCTTCGCATACATCTGGACGGTCTGCTCGAGCTCGTCCCACTTGCCGCAGGCGGACGCGTTGCTGAGGTCTTTGTAGCTGCTGGCGAAGCAGTGTCCTGCCTGTCGGAGCCTCCAACCTGTGATCTGATTGACAAATATTGCATCTTCTCTGCGCGTTCCTTTGACGAAGCCACGTTCGAAAAGTTTGTGCGGGATGTGGAGTAGGTCATGGTGATAAGCCTTGCCCATAGCGTCGATCACGCGCCGTTGGATGCGCTGTCGCTGGAGCTTGAGCTGTTGTGAAATCTCCCTAAGCTTGGTCTCGCACTCCCCGAGGGTCCCCTCATCTGCCCCCGTACGCTGTATTCGGAGTTCGGCCCGTCGCTTGAGTAGCTGTTCTCGTTCTTCCTTGGCCTGCTGGTAGGTCGTGTCGTTCGTGATCTTGGCCTCGAAGAGCTGTTGCCCCGCGGTGATGAGAGCGTCATGTATGAAATCCAAAGTCTCGTCGGGGCGTCCCCGCGTAAGCAATTCACGCCACTTATCTTCTTCTTCCTGCAGACGGGAGGTGACAGCTCTCAGAAATTCGGGTCGAAGGGTTCCTTTGCGTACAACTTCCACCATGGCGCCCATGTTCCAGCGGGTTCTCTCCGCCTGGATCCTCGGAGTAAAATCTTTGATGCAGCTCATTTCCATGTACTCGGGGATGTGGTCCCTCGGTGGTCGGCCTCTATACGCTTGGAGGGACGCTCCTAGTCGATAAAGTGGGTGGCATGCCGTCACGAAATCGGTCATGCCCAGTGGCGCACATATAAAATCAATAGGGCTCTGACCGCCCGCATTCCCAAAGAAAGTGGATTGAAGATCGGGACTTCTCGTGTTCATAGCCAGCATGTGATGTTGTTCATTCGCATGTCGAAGGCGCTCTCCTGCTCCACTCCGTCGATGATCGTTACTTCTTCCTGCTCCGACCGCCGACGTTTCTACCGCCGGCCATTTACTTGAGCCTCTGCTAAGTCCGAGTCCGTCATTCAGGTCAGTGTATAGTATCGGGGTACTTCTGTAGGGGAGCTCCGAGAGCACTCGTTCGTACCATTCTATGAGTGTCTTGACTGTCGCTACATAGTGAAAGATCTCGGCCGTGAGGAAGAAAGGGCGGAGCAGCGGCCCGGGGCCGCCTGGGCGCGAGCTCTCCAACCTCTGTGAGGAGACGACCTGGGCCATCGCTGGGGGACGAGGAGGAGGAGAGCCAGGAGGAGGAGAGCGAGGAGGAGGAGGAGGAGGAGGAGGAGGAGGAGGAGGAGGAGAAGGGAGGGAGGAGAACGGGGAGGATGAGGCTGGAGGCCTCCTTGATAGTGTCCACTTAGACTGGGTCGGATGATCGCGCTGCATCGCCAACGCGTCAGCGATGCATCGGCGACGCTGGCCTGGGCAGAATCAAGCTCAATAGCCGCATCGCGGATGCATCGGCGATGCGGCGCGATCCTCCAACCCCAACACCTCCGACCCCATGATAAAGGCCTCGAGAGGAGGAGGAGGAGGAGGAGGAGGAGGAGGAGGAGGAGGAGGAGGAGGAGGAGGAGGAGGAGGAGGAGCTTTCCGAAGCTTTCCCCCGCAGCCCCGCTGGCTGCCACGCGGCGGCCGCGCCCGACGCTCCGCGCGTCGCGCGGCCACCGCTCGGAGGGCCGCGTCCCTGGGGACCGCCCTCTCTCCCTGCGCGTCTGGCGGAGGCGCAGGGAGCGTTGCTGACGGGCTGGTCCATCAGCGTGTACGCGGTCCGCACCAGAGATCCTCAGCACCCCGCGGTGGACCCCCAGGGCGAGGGTCACCCTGGGCATCTGCCACGACATGCCTTCCAAGGGGAACGGCAATACGGCCAGTCCTCTGCCCATTCTCGTGCTGGTGCTGGTCGTGGTGCTGCTGGTGCCCGTCGTGCTGGCTGGCTGCAGCCTGGAGTCGAAGCACCCATCGCCGCCGTCGTTGCTCTGGGCACCCTGTCGGGTCGGTGCTCACATCCATCCTCGTCGGAATTGGTGTGGTGCGTTCCCGCTGGCTGCTTCCCGCGCCGTTGTCAATCAGGCCGTGTCCGTCGTGCTGCTGGTCTCGGTGCTTGTCGTGCTGCTCGTCGTGTACGTTGTCTTGCCGTGGTTTGTTGCCGTCGTCGCTTGGGGCGGCGGAGGTCGGTGGCCGCGGGCGTTCAAATGCATCTCCACGCTGGCCTCCCTCTACGGCCCCCGTGGGACTTCGCTGCTCGTCGTGTACGTTGTCTTGCCGTGGTTCGTTGCCGTCGTCGCTTGGGGCGGCGGAGGTCGGTGGCCGCGGGCGTTCAAATGCATCTCCACGCTGGCCTCCCTCTACCGCCCCCGTGGGCCTTCGCAGGGAATACGCGTCCTCCCCCTCGGCACGATCCATCGGGTATCCGTTGAAGTGTCCGTGGTTGTGGAGGTCGTGCTGGCGTCGGATGTGGTCGTACTGGTCCCGAGGCTGCTGGGCGTCGTCGTGCTGGCCTTGTCGGCAAACCGTAGGCGACGAATCGCCAGTCGGGTCGGTACTCACAGCCATCCTCATGGGAGGTGGTGTGGTGCGTGCCCGCTGGCTGTTTTCCGAGCCGCTGTCAGGAGGAGGAGGAGGAGGAGGAGGAGGAAGAGGAGGAGTGCGAGGAGGAGGAGGAGGAGGAGGAGGAGAGCGAGGAGGAGGAGGAGGAGCAGGACGGGGAGGAGGAGGAGGAGGAAGGGAGGAGGAGGAGTAGGAGGAGGAGGAGGAGGAGGAGGAGGAGGAGGGGGCACGAGGCGAAGCGCGTGATGGTCTTCTTCGCGTCCTCGCTGAAGGTCGCGAAGGCACGCTGGGACGGCGCCGAGGCAACGAGGCGGCGGAGAGATGGTCGTGCGGCGAGCATCCCGGCGGCGCTGCGGCTGGTTGTCGCGAGGGGGCTCGGCGCAGCCCAAGTGCGAGGCGGGGATATCTCCAGGTGGCCGATTCTTACAAGAAGAAAACACGCATAAACATAACCTTTCGGCGTTCCGCGCGGATTTCTTCGATCTGCGCTGGACCCCCTCCCTGACGCGCGGAGCGCGCCAGGGGCGGCGCCGGAGGCGCCGACATGGGTGCGGATCCAAGAAATCCGTGCGGAACTCCGAAAGTTTATGTTTATGACGTTCCTCCGTCTTCGAATTCTGGAAGTTCTAAGATCCAATAACATGGCGTCTCTTGGGGGTGCATCTTTTACTTCCGCCGCAGTCTGCCGAGCTTCCGCCGGCTTCCGCCGGCGGGGGCGGCCTCATCTTCCTTCCGCCGGCTTCCGTCGGCCCTCCGTCGCCATCTCCGCTGAGCGAAAGCAAAGCCCCTTCTGGAACGCCTCGTATCTCCGGGAGAGGTAAACCTTGAGTTCGGGGGACTCGGGTCGGCCTGACGGGGCCGTCAGGCGAACGACGAGACCCATTCTGAAGCTTGACGCGAGCTCCCGCTGCGAATATCCCACGAAAACTGAACCGTCAGAAATTCTGGGGCCCGAGTATATCCAAGTCCACCGCCTGCCGAGGACCCCGAAGATCGCTCCACTGGGCAAACCAAGTCCCGATACCGCCATTCCCCAGACCTCTCCTGAGGTGCGGCCTGACCATGATTTCAAGGCGAATCCAGCCGTGGCGACGAGGGCCTCCCAGGAGGCCCCCCAAAGGCGAAAACGAGGCAAAAGTAGCGACATCGGCACCTCGTTCCTCTCTGAGACTCTGTCCATGCCCACCGTCTGCCAAGGTCCCCGAAGATCGATCCCCCAGGCCGTGGTTATGGATAAATCCCCGCCTCGGACCAGGGGCGGGGAGACGTAAGACTCGGGTACGGGGGACTCGGGTTGGCCTGACGGGGGCCATCACAAAAATGATGAAACCCAGTATGAAATTTGACGCGGGCCCCCGCTGCAGACATTCCACGAAAACGGGACCGTCAAAATCCAGGATGCGCTGGTCAAAACAAAGTCGGTCAACCCCGAGTTCCAGCTCACTCGAGTCGTAGGTTGCCCCGACAGGGGGCAGCCGTGGCCTGACCGCTCCGCCTCCCTGCCCTCGGCAGGCTGGGGCCTGTTGCGCATGGGAGGGCACCAGAAGACACGAAGCGGCGGACGGGGATAAGGGCGCTCAACTTTTTTGTTTTTTGTTGTTTTATCTCGGCCGCGCTCCTCGGCGAAGGTCTGGGCTGGTCCAGCAGCTACCGCGTCCAGGCGTTCCAGGTGGCATGTTCACGGGCCACCGCCGCGCGCTCTTCCAGCCAGCGCGCGACCAGATCGAGGCAGGCGTGGTTCGAAGGCCGAGGCCAGGGAGAGGGGCGCTCAATGGGACGCAGAAGGACACACTACAGTCAGGAACTTCAGCTTAGCGTGTCGCGGAGGCGGCCCTGGAGGCACGCGAATTTCTGCGAGCGAACAGGGTGTCGCTCCACTCCGCGGGTCTGGGAGGCCTGGAAGAGCTCGGGACATGGACGCCTGGGGACTGGGCGGTGGATGGCGTATCGCGCCGAAGCGTTATGGGCCAGAAACGACGAAACGACACGCTAAGCCAAAGTTCATGTCCGTAGAGGTGCCCGGGGGGGCGCAGAAGGACGGACTAAGAACCATGTGCCCCCCTGGAAACGCACGTCCGAGTCGAACACTTAGCACAAACATCTTGAAATGTATCGTTACCCAGGCAGCATGGCCAGAGAGCGGCGGCCACCAAGCACCTACTAAGAGACTTCTGAGCGCACGCGTCGCCCCTAGGGGGCCTGCACACACACACACACATACTACTAAAAATGTCCGGTTGATGCTGACTCAAGACCCGCGTCGGCGCAGACAGAGCACCAAGCTCGGTCCATCCCTCCTGCCGGGCGGCGGTGGTTGCCGCAGGCAGCTGGATGGGCGATGGGCTGAACCCGAAGAGGCTGCGGGCGGGGGTTGGAGCGAAGAGCAGGGCGGGGCGGCCGAGGGCCCTCCTCGGAGCCGGCTTCGGGCCATCGAACTCGGAGCCGAGCCGGCTCCGAAGCGTTCGGGGCGACCCGGGCACCCCCGGAGCGCTCCTGGCGAGGCGCAGCCGCTGAAAGGCATCCAGGGTCGGGCTGAACAAGGGCTCCCAACTTCGCGCTTCGCGCTGCGCGAAGCGCGAAGTGCGAATAACTTCGCGCTCTCGCGCCGCCTCCCAAGGGAGAAAAGGAGGATGAGGAGGAATCGGAGCCGAACCGCGAAGCGCGAAGCGCGAATAACTTCGCGCCCTCGAGGGCGCCCTTGCTGAACCTCCAAGGACCAAAACGTCCAAAGACTACAGTCAGGAGCTTCTGCTTGGCGCGTCGCTGCGGCGGCCCCGGCAACACGCTGTGCCCCGCAAGCGGATAGCGTGTCTCTCCGCTCCGCGGGGCGGGAGGTCGGGAAAGGTTCAGGACGTGGACGCTTGGGGACGGGGACGGGGATAGCGTGTCCCACCGAAGCGCGGTGGGCCAGAACCGGCGGAATGGCATGCTAAGCAAATTTCTGACCGTAGCTCCGTACTATGTCAACCCGTACTATAGGGACGCACAGTCAGAATGCAAGGGCAATGTACGCCCATGCCAAGGCTGCTCGAGCGGGGATGGCCATCGGAGAAAGATGAGGATGAACCGAAGATGACCGGAGAAGCAAGGGATGCAAGGGTACCCGTGGGAAGTCGATCATCCTTAGTATCAGGGCTGACTGTAATCTTCCTCATCCTCCACCTCCTGCTCCTCCTCGTCCTCCTCCTCGTCCTACTCCTCCTCCTCCTCGTCCTCCTCCTCCTTTCCCTCCTCCTCCTCCTCCTCCTCCACCTCCTCCTCCTCCTCCTCCTCCTCCTCCTCCTCCTCCTCCTCCCCCTCCCCTCCCCCTCCCCCCTCCTCCTCCTCCTCCTCCTCCTCCTCCTCCTCCTCCTCCTCCTCCTCCTCCTCCTTCTCCTTCTCCTCCTCGGGGGATCCTGGTTTTTGGGGGCTCTGGGCCTCCAGAACCCGCCAGGGGCCTGGAGGCGGGGGCATCGGCAGAACTCTGGGGTGGCGCCCCGCGGGGTCCCGAGTCGCCAGGAGACGTCTTTGGGCTCTCATGGAGCCCCGAGGCCTTGGGCGGGAGCTAATTCACCGTGGCGGGGGTCTGGGGAGCCCAGCAGAAGCTTCCCGCAGGGGCCCGAATCGCCAGGAAACGTCTTTGGGCCCTCAGGAGGCTTCAGGGCCCTTGGGCGGGAGCGAATTCACCGTGGCGGGGGTCGGACGGGAAAGGGAGGCCATGGCTACGACCCGCGGTGGCACTCGAACCACCGCGCGATTCGCCTGCTCCTGCGAGACGGAAAGGTTTGTCTGCGACAACTGTGTTCTATGGCATCCGCGAGCTTTACGAGAACGCCAGTCACCAACAGTTGAGAGAAGCAGCGGAGCGCTACGGCTTCGACGGTGCCCTGCTCAAAACGCTGTGCTGCCTCTACCGCGCGCCTCGCAGGGCAAGGTGGACGGGAGGGACCAACAGAACCAGTTATCCGAACGGAACGATTGTGGCAGGATGCAGTGCTGCAACGGGAGTTTCGAAGCTAATGACGCTACGACTCCTCAAACGCTTGGCAGTGGAGACTCCGCCGTGCCGAGTTCTTAACGTGGTGGACGACTTGACGACGCACACCATCGGAGGACCGCTGACAGTGGTCACGAACATGAATGCCAGCTTCGAGATTGTTAGGTCGGAATTGGAATCGAGGAAGCTGCCAATCAACTGGGACAAAACCAAGTTCATGATGTCTGACCACGGCCAACTACCTGAATGGATGCAGGACTCCAGGTGGATGCTTTCAGACCACAAGCTGGTCATCACCCACCGCAACCTCGGCGGTGACTCGCTGGACAGCAGAGCTCGACGAGTTGGCACGCAGGCGTCGAGGTGCACAGCAGCTCGCAATACTGGAGTGGCCCTGAGACAGCTCGGGCAGAATGAAAAACATCGCCGTGTCTATCGTGTAGGAGCGCTTGCTAAAGCCACGTGGGGATCCCATAGTTTGGGGATTCCGCCGACCACCCTCCATATGCTTCGGGTACAAGCTGCGAGATCCTGAAGCACCCTCCTCCCTGGTACGTCCCTGGGCTTCAAGTTTCTCTCGGCCTCCCGCCTCTGGATCTGGGACCCACTTGTGGTGACGATGGTATCGGCTGTAAGGGAATGTGTTAGTGTCTGGTGGGCCCGCTCGATTTCCAAACAAGCATTCGAGTCCTTTGTTCAGAACGCCCAGGCGGTCCAGGGGTGCAAGGCCTCCTGGGGTCAGGTTCGCCAGATTGTTGCTGCGCTGTGCCTGCAACTTTCTCGGATCCACTGGGCGTTTGGTGTATCGAAGATAGCCGTGATGGATGACCTCAACAGAGAGTGGTCGACCGATCGGTTCTCGCCCAAATTGTTTGTGCTCCTTCTGCGAGGCTCGATCGTTCGGGCCATTGAGCGGGAAGAGCAGCTGAAACAGTTCGATTTCTGTCAGTGGAGTGGCCCTGTGTTCTGACAGCCCATTCACCAGCTCCTCGGGCGCAACGGCTCGAAAACTTGGACTAAATCTCACAATGCGGCACTCTCGGCGCTTGCCGCGAATGTGTACTGGTGCCAACACAGAGTTTGCGAGCACAGCCTCGAAGCCCCCGACCAATGTCAGCTCTGCAGTGACGGCGATGGCACTCTGTACCACCGCAAATTTCAATGTGTAGCCTTCGCTCCCTGGCGCCGCGAGAACCTGGATCCTCTTGTTGCGAAGGCTGCTCGACGAGATGGAAATCTTCCGACCTCGGTGGGGGAGCTGTTTTGCAGGTGTTTGTTTCCCCGCC